CTTTCATGAGACTGTGACTGGGTAAGTTACCTTATATATATATGTGTATATATATATACCTCTTCTTTTTCAGCGGCATGTCCCTCTTTTTCTTTCTGGGTCCCACTCTGTGGCGAGTTGTGCCTGACCAGGTATTATTTAACCATTGAAATCTGTACTGTGCTTCGTGTGAAGACGGTGTGATCCTCTTTCCTACCCCCACTTGTATGTTGGTTCCCAGTGGCCTGGATTTTAGATTGTAGTCAACTTGCTGGCAGTATGATCCTCTTTCCTATCTCCACATGGATGTCACTACCCAGTGGCCAGGTTTTGGATTGTAGTTGACTTACTAATGGTAAGATCCTCATCCTACCCCCGCTTGGATGTCAGTTCCCAGTGGCATGGGTTTTGGATGTAATTAACTTGCCATGTACAGTCTGTCACGCTCTAGCCACTCTACATCTGGGGCACATCCTTTAATTTTACCCACTTTTATATTTTCCAAGATTGAGTTTAATAAATAATGTATGGTTCAGATCACTATCTTGCCACAGCTCTCTCCCATTTGGATGTGCTCCTCCATCTTTCTGCCAATATATGCAACATCTTTCCACAATGAGCGAAGAGTATATCTGTTTCAGAAGTAGTACGGTCTCCCATGTGTCATCTTCAACTCCAAAGATCTCCTTTTGGGGAGTTTCCTTTGGACACTTTTGAAGGATGCTTCTTTTTTTCCCTCGCACTGGTCTCTCTACATATTCAGTGTTGGATTCTAGCTAGATATGTGAGACGAGGTAATGTACTGTATTGGAAGTTATAATTTTTATATACTGATAATGTATTTCTGATAGGTATTTACCTCCCATCACACTTCTCACCTTTCTTCTCCACTGAAAACTGGTGCTTCCATTTTCTGCCAATACTCGAAGTGATAGTTTGGTAGAATTGAACAGAGGGAGCCACCTACATCAAGAGAGTGTGTTGCACTTATTGGTGGAAGTTTGCCGCATGATAATTTGCATGCGAGATGCATTGAAATTAGTCAATTCCAGATGAGTAGGAGTTTCAAGGCTTGTGGTATGTGCAAAAATACATTCAGTATAAGAAAATTATAATGTTCAGCTGTTTACTGATTGTAACACTTGTACATAATACAAACACTTCCTTCCTCTATCTAGCTGGAATACAAGTTGGACTTTCATTGAAAAAAATAATAGTTTGAAATGCACAAAAGACATGATTCTAGATTTTCAAAAGTCAGTAATATAACACACAAATCAAAGGCATTTCAAGTATTTAAATTCAGTACCAGTTGATGCTGTTTTTATTCCAAGATATAAGTCTCAATCAGATAATGGAATATATGAAACAACACTAAATCTTGCTGTGCCAACTCTTTACAAAATACTCTCATTATGAGCCCAAGGAGTCAACAGTGAGAGTGTTAAATATCTTATGTTAAACAGTATCTCATTAACGTGTAGAATATCTAAAGGGATGCTCTGTGCGGGACTTTTATCAATATATTAAGAATGAAAATATACAGTAACACTCAATATGAAATTATATGATCTGAACATGGTCAAGTATAAGAATTTGAATGTGATAACAGCTGTCTCGTTCTGTCTCATGTTAGTACATCAAGCACTTGTTTTTGACACATGCATAACAGACAGATTGGTATTAACTGATAAAGGGATTGTAAGTTTGAGATTGGCTAGTGTTTTTTATTATGTTAATAGAAATCTCTTGTAGAATATAAACTAACCATCTTTAATAAAAACCACTTTTAATCAGCTATGATGGTATTCCAAGATCACTCATGTTGTTAAAATTTCTTAATTCTTCCAAATGTTGACATTAAATTCATTTAATTATTAAAGTGGCTTCAGTTTATGTGATATGGTAGAATTATATAAGCTGTGGTGAATATGCATATCTGAATTGTTTTTGGTTCATTATGAGTTAAAATTTCATTTCTTCCACAGCTCGTAGAGAAACTGATCAACATTAATGTGATGGCATGTACAATGGTAAGGAATATGAAAACTAAATGTTATTTTTTTTACTTTGTACGTGTAATCAAAATTTTCCTGATTATAATTATTTACCTATCATATTTCAACAAGGAAGAACTGTAACATTTGAAATTATGTAAAATTTTCGATAATTATTGTCTAAGTCAACTGTGTTTGCTTTGAGTAAATGACAAAAGTGTCATATACATACAGCAGGAATTGATGTGTGTGAAATCAGAAATACAGAAACATAAATAACTACCTCATAGTAATAAAGTATGAAAAAGAAAAAAACGGACTACAGAATTTAAATGTATAATTTGAAATGTATCTTATTAGTAGAGGAATTCATTTTTATGTGTTAAAGTTCTATCAAATATGTGGAGTTGCTGTGCATTACATCACCTTTTCTGTAGGTCATAAAAGTAGTTAACTGTTATTAACAAAACTATTTATATACAGATAGACACTGACAAGAGGAGAACACATTGAAGAATTGTATTCCAATCTACAACTTTTTCAAGACATTATGGACATCCTATAGAAAAAATACTATTTCATACATGTAGTAATTACATTTGCAATTCTATTAGGAAAATCCCACTTCAACAACAAAAATTTCTTGTTCTATTAAAAAATATTACAGCTATGATATCTTCACTGAGTACATCTTTACCATAACCTGCATTCAACTGAGACAGAAAAAACAGAGATGTTCAAATTGTACTTAAGTATTTACATTACTCATTTAAATTATTCCTTTTGGCCTTTTACCTACAGTTTCTCACTTTTCTTGCAATTAATCTCGGTATATGATTTCAAATAAAATGATTATTTCATATGTCAATACATTTCTGAAGGCGATGCCAGAAGTTTTCATAATAACTCATAAAACATATAACAAATAAATACATACATTTAGGTCGTAATAAAATCAAATTTAAGTCATTTCTCTAAGTCTCCAGACTTTATGGACACCCTGTATATTAATGTTGTTAAGATAAAAGGTTGTAATTTTTTCAAAGCTGTGTTTTTGTTTGTAATATCTCACTATTGTAGTCGTTCAGTTGAAGTTAAGCTGGATAAAAGAATAATCTTGAGAATGATCTTTTAAACAGACATGAGTTATGTAAGCAGATGTTTTTAATCTGTCATTAGCTAATTTTTTTAAATATTCTTTCACATAGAATATAATTTTAACAATGACCTTTCTGTTGATTGAAACTAACCATGAGAATGGACATTCATTTTAGACTAATCCTTTCACTAAATTAAGACTAAAATCCCAAGAGACTCACTTTCTGTTTTGAATATTTCACTTATTTGAGATATAACAGAAAGAACAGACTTTTAGTCTAGTGCAAGTATTTTACTTATTTAAAACTAGCTGGAGTACCTGTTCGCTGGATGGAAGTTACGTAAATTCATGATTAATTAAAGGTTATCTTAGGACATGAAAAGCTGCTTCCCTTATATGTAATTGTAAAAAAAATGCTACAAAATGCAATATGCAAAACTGAAAATTTGTGTGTATCTTCCCATGGACCCAGCAAACCTTCATGACAAATTTGGTGAAGATCCATCCACAGGGGACGAAGTAGTGGTAAGAAATGCTCATAAAAACCGCAAATTGCAAAACTGAAAATTTGTATGTATCTCGGCATGTACCTAATGAACCTCCATACGAATTTTGGTGAAGATCCATCCACACACTGTGAAGTAGTTACATGGACAGAAAACAGACAGTACTATTATATTTATATAGCTATAAGTCTAGTTTAAGTATTTCAGTTATGTGAGATATAATATGAAAAACAGACCTTTAAGTATTTCATTTCACTTATTTAAAATATAATACGAAGAATGGACTCTTAGTCTAGTCTATTAACTTCACTTGTTTGAAACTAATGTGATGAATGAACTCTTGATCTTGTTTAAGCATTTCACTCATTTGAGAATAATATGAAGAATGGAATCTCAGTCTTATTTAATAATTTTCTTATTTGAGGCTATTGACAAGAATGCACTTTCAGTATAGATTTAGTATTTTTTATTTAGACTAGTTTTAAGAATTGACTACTCTGTACCAATTATTTTGTTTCTGTAAGAATAATGCAAAGGATGAACTTTCATTATACTACACTTACAATTCATTTTATTAAGATTTTTCTTACATTCATTCAACTTCATTCATTTATTTTATCATGAGAAATCTTGATGTGAATGATGTCTTATTCAGTTATTCAAGACATATTCTTGACATTGGTCTTTTGTTTTTCAGTCTATAGTAGTTCTAAGAATCATTTCTTGTTCTTATTCAGTTAGGACTGTTACTGAGTAACGAATAACTTTTTACTCTTATAGAGAACTACAGAACTTTATAATTAGGTTTTTTACCTATTCACTAGCTTGTTTGTGATGACAGAAATATCTAATGGTGACCAATGAAACATGTCTCACTAATTTTTCAGATGATGAAGATTGTCCTACCACAGATGGAGGAGCGGAAAAAAGGTGTTGTGATTAATCTATCATCCTTGTCTGCAATGACTCCTGTTCCACTCTTAAGTGTGTATGCTGCTAGTAAGGTAAGTTTATGAAGACTGTGCTCAGTTGTAGACCAATTGTTGGCCTTCTTCGATAGTAGTAAAGAAAGAACTAGAATACATCTCCATGAAATTAATTTAGTAAAAGTTTTGGCTAGCTGTTAAGTGTAGTTTCCATTGAAAAGTCTTACTCAGGTATTAAACACTTGTACTTTTTCACTGGAGATAAGACTTAACTTTACAGGATGTTGATGTATTAAAAAGTAACTAATAATGAAATAAAATGTATGTACACTTTAACACATACTGATAAATATATATATACAATAATTAAAATCTTTAAAGAATGATACAATGAATAAAAAAAGGTATTGTTATTGTTAGGATTTTTCAATGCTTAGTTCACATTCCAGTAACCATTATAGCACAATACAACATTAAGATATGAATGATACAACTGTATATCATTATACAGAAACTAATGCAGTTTGATTGTTCTATAAATTTTATGTTGTCAGGAATACTATTAACACACCTATATAAGTTTTTGAATGAACAATTTTTATAATAAAAGAAACTATCACAACTGAAAGGATGTCATCAGAAAATTACTAACACTGTTACTAGTGACTATAAGAACAGGATGTCATCAGAAAATTACTAACACTGTTACCGACATGCTCTTCATACAGTGATTTGTAGTTGTTTTGATTCTGCTGATGACATACTCTTCATACTCTAACTTTGATAATGGCATGCACTTAACACATTGACCTATTTTGTGTTAATTTTTCTGATGCCATCCTGTTTATACAATAATCTGGAGCTGTGTTACTAACTTTTCTAATGACATCCTGTTCATATAGTCACTTGTAACAGTGTTAGTAACTTTTCCAATGACATCCTGTTCATATAGTCACTTGTAACAGTGTTAGTAACTTTTCTGATGACATCCTGTTCATATAGTCACTTGTAACAGTGTTAGTAACTTTTCTGATGACATCCTGTTCATATAGTCACTTGTAACAGTGTTAGTAACTTTTCTGATGACATCCTGTTCATATAGTCACTAGTAACAGTGTTAGTAATTTTCTGATGACATCCTGTTCATATAGTCACTAAGTTGTGTTAGTTTGCTGATGACATGTTCTTCATAGTGTGATCTACAGGTTATTAAATTTTCTGATGACATGTTCTTCATACAGGGATTTCCAGTTGTTTTCACTTTGCTGATGACATGCTCTTCATACAGTGATTTGTAGTTGTTTTAATTCTGCTGATGACATGCTCTTCATACAGTGATTTGTAGTTGTTTTAATTCTGCTGAAAACGTACAAATAAAAACCAAACAGAAAACTTGCACAACTCAAAACACATACATTCAAATAAAACACAAAGCCTTAAACAATTGCTAAAAATGTATAAAAATTACTGATTCTAATTTTTTTAAATGACCACTTGGTACACTATCCAAAAAACATGTTTCTGCATACATACTGTTTATAGAGTAATCCTTCATTGTAATATTACTGTGACATTTTGTTCATACAATAATTTGAAGGTGTGTTAGCTTTACTGGTGGCACACTCTTCATACAGTGATCTAGAGTTTGTTAACTATTGATGACATGTTCTTCATAGTGTGATCTATAGTTTGTCAACTACTGATGGCATGTTCTTTATAGTGTGATCTAGAGTTGTGTTAGCTATATTAATGACATATTCTTCATTGTGTGATCTATAGGAAGTAGTCATGTCACTTATGTATTCAAAGAAAATACAATAATTTGGCTTGGGGTTCCTTATAATTTACCTCTAGAATTATACAGTCTATTTCAGAAGGCATTATTGTGTGGATTGTATAACTCTAAGAGGTTTTATAATGTTGACTATGCTTTTGGGGCTCAATTTTTCTAAAAAATCATTTACAGAAATCTAACAATACAAATTCTGAGAAGTACATTTTTTAAATTTCTTAAAATTCAGCACGAAAACTTTTATCATTCATTTTACCAACACCACCGCAGTAACAACTTTACCTATCTTTGAAACTCAGTGTTAAAATTTCATTGTATGATTTTTTAGTTATAATGCTGTTGTGTTTCTAATGGATGAGCTAATGTACTTAAAATACGGTTTTAAAATTTCATTGAAAAATTTTGATAGATTCAATACTGTTGAGTTTAACAATAAATAAGGTAATGAACGTAAAACTTAAAACACTCCAGTAAACAGGATGGGACGAAAGTAATTACTGTTGTTTCAATTAGAACATAATTTAATTTTTAATTATTATTTTTACTCTGAAACAAACAATAATTAAAATGTATGTATGGTGTTTTGAGGTGTCTTTTACTCTACAATGATCTTATATCTGTATATGAATAAATAAATATAGGCTCACTATGTGAGTAAAAGATGTTTCTAAACATCATACGTATAACACCACTATATAAAACCTAGTCTTATTCTTTCGATTCACTCTTGTTCAGGATTAGTGATGATAAGGTGGAATTCCCTGAAACCAGTATGACAGTGATAATTGGTAAATCAAGAGATAAATTGGGCTTCTTATTTATTTGTTAATAACTGGCTTTAACTGTCTTTGTAATATATTCTGTAGTGTCAACTATACTAATATAGTATACTGTATAGTAACAACTGTATAGCTACTTTTTCCACACACTGTATACAATCAATTAACAATGGATACCAATAATAGTCTGTAGGTATTTATGTCATTACATTAATTTGTTTCACACTGTTTCAATAATCCACTATTACTAATAACTGGAGAATATAATTCCCATGTGTAAGAATGAGCTTGATATTCATGAATATTATTACAATCTGTGGTAGAGTATGTTCTAAAAAGTTTCTGATGTGTTGGTCCAAATCCAAGTAGTCATGATACAATACTCGTATAAAGACATAGGTTCTTCATAGTATATAATATTTTCTCTTCCCATTTGGAGAGTGTAGTGTTGTGCAAAGGGAAATTGAAAAGAGAGTGGTTTAGTAAAAGAGTGAAAAAAGAAGAAAGTAATAGAATAAAGAATTCAAGGTAGATATTTTTAATCTTTTCAGCATGAAATTTATACCTTGGAGCAATACCAAGCATTTCACATGGAATATATTACTTTTGTTGTTAAACGTTGTATACAACCTTCCAAAGTGTAGGTCAGTTTACTTTCAGGGAGACCTGAAGGCTTGTAAAACATTACATCATGATAAATATCATAGTTAAAAAACTGGAATATTTGCAATGAATTTCAGGTGGCTGTAAATTACAATGTGCAGCTGTCTTTAAGTTAGATATTCAGTACGTGATTGAGAAGATCCAAGTTCTATTAAATGATGTTTCCACAAAAAGAAAGTGAGAAGTTTCATTATGAGAATTAAAAAAACATGGGAATTACATCCTTTATAACATGTGATTCTCTGTATATGCCTATAGTATGTGAACTTTATTTCAAAAGACAAAATGTTTACAAATGTTTGATGTAATTAGAGAGAGTATTTCTAAACTATTAAAACCTGTTTAGTGTCAGTATATAATTGTTTAAAGTTATTTGCTTCCAAGTGGCTCAGCAGTAAGTTTGGACCTTTATAACACCAAAAACTGGGATTCAATAACTGTGGTGGGTTCAGCATAGATAGCCTATTTTGTAGCTTTATGCTTAACAACAAGCAAACTTCAGCTATTTGTCCCTGTTGGTGTTGATTGCCTAAATATTTAGGTTTGTTGGAAGAATGAGAAATGCTGTCATTATTGAAAAATTTACTAAAGTAGTCTTTTCACAAGTTATTCCATGTTTATCAAAACTAGATTTTAAGGTTTAATTTCTTTTTGTGTATCATAGTTATTTTTTAAACTTGTATATTTTTCTTTTTTATAGGCTTATGTTAACTTCCTCTCTGTAGGAGTTCAAACAGAGTATCGGAAGAAGGGGATAATAATTCAGGTATATTTTGTGAACTATGCCCCAGTGTTCTACAATTATTGTGCTTTCATATTTCTCTTGGATGGCTTAGAAAACTTGTACTGTTTTAAACATTTAGTTATTTTTAATAACACTGACAGTTTTATAATTACTGTTCACAGCTATTTAACATATTGCATCTACATGTTATACCATAAGAATGTAAATTGTGTATATTTAATCCTTGATAGAAAGATAGAGAAATTAAATATAAATATAGCACCAGGTGTCTCCATCATTATAAAGAAGGGTAAGTATCAGATATATGAGCCCCTCTTTCATTTTTGGTGTTTCAGTGTTACCGAAATGGGTTAATATAGGGAAATCTTGCCTTACTGATCTGTTATCTTTATCTAGGATGTTCCTTGTCATCCATACCAATGAAAAGAGTGTTGAGTTAGATTTTCAAAAAGCTTTTGATAAAGTGCCAAAAAGTAGATTAGCTAAGAAAATCATATTGATAAGGATTAGGGAAAGACTAGTTAATTAGCAGGTAGGGTGGTTGAATGGGAGAAAGCAAAAGGTTATTAATAGAGTTCAGTCAAACTGTATCCTTGTTACTAGTGAAATGTCTTAGGGGTGACTTTTTATGCCTTTATTTTTTCTTACTTCATTAATGTTATTAGTAGTAGTAAATTAGTAAGGTTTGCTGATGACATTAAATTCTTGAGTATTTCTAGTTGTACTGAGGATATTGAAGTATTAAAGAATGACTTGAATCAATTGTCACTCAAGCTTCAAAACAGTGCTATGTAGCTAGTAGTAAAGCTAATAGAAATTTAGAGTGTATTTGTGTAATTTAGCCAAAAGAGGTAATTATTAGGCTGTCAAGAAATTAGTGTCACTTTTTTATTAGTTGAAAAAATCTGAACAACTTGTATATCAAAACAAAACATTTATCAAATGAAATAGTCTCCATTCTTATCGATGATGCTTTTACATCTTACAATGAGGTTGTTAATGCTCTGATTACAGAAATCATTTGGCTTTCAATGAAAAAACATGTCAATGTCCTCTTTAACACCTTCCACATTTGCATACGTTTTCAAATAAAGATAGTAATCTGATGGTGTCATATTTGGAGAATATGGTGGATGGGGGAGAACTTCCCAACCCAATTCCATAATCTTGTGTTGTGTCAAATGTGCCACATGTGGATGGACGTACACATTGTCGTGGAGAAGAAGAACACCTTTTCGATTGACAAGTGAAGGGCACTTATGATGAAAGGCTTGATTTAAACGTTCCAGTTTCTGACTATAGATCTCTGCATTGACAGTTTGCTGTGGATTGAAGAGGTTGAAATGAATTACTTCTTTGATGTCCCACCAAATGCGAAACATCACTTTCTGTGGATGGAGTTCAGGTTTTGTGGTCGGAAGTGGTTTTCGTCTAAGACTGAGCCATTGTTTTTGGCATTTAATATTCGCATAGAGAATCCATTTTTCATCACCAGTGACAACTCTTTCCAAAAATGATTCACGCGCATTACGTGCCAGAAGAGAATGAGCAATGCTCACAAGTTGAAAACAATGATCATCGGAGAGTTCATGAGGCACCCAAGCACCTTCTTTAAGGAGCTTTCCCATATTCCTTAGATTTTTAGATTTTTTTTGTTTCATGAAAGACATGCAATTTCAGGTCCATTTCACGAGTGTGTCGCCTTGGGTTAGACTCAACATGCATCTTCAGAGCATCACTATCAATTCCAACTGTGTTGGCCCCTGCCATCACAGTTTTTAAGGCTAAAGTTACCTGAACGAAATTTGCTGAACCAACATTGACACTCACACATGTTCAAAACATTTCCATAAACTTCTTTGATATTCTTCGTGACTACAGAGACATTGTTTCCCTTCTTGTATTCAAACAGCATTACATGCCAAATGTGAGTCTTATCATGTGCCATCACTATAAGGGATTAGAGTATATTAAACTTTACAAATTAAATAGGCTACACTAATGTGACGTTTAGGCAGTTAATTTAACTATTGTACATGATGTATGTTTTTTGGGGGATGGTTAATGAAAGTGTTCCAAAATGCAACATTAATTTCTTGATGACCTAATATCTGTATACATATCTCTAGTTAAGACTCACATGAAATACTGTAGTATTGGTTCTCCTTATATATAAAAAGAAAAGACTGAGTTATTGGAAAGTATTTATAAGAGGGTTACTAAGATGGTTCTCAGGATGGAAGGGTTATCTTATAGGGATGAGTTAAGATTTCTTATCCTATTTGACCCCCAGTGGCAGAGTGGTATGTCTGCAGATTTAAAACACTAGAGACCAGGTTTTGATACCCATAGTGGGCAGGGCACAGATAGCCCATTGTGATTATTTTGTAATTACTTACACGAAACAAATCTTAGTCTATTTTTTTCTTGAGAAAAGAATGGTAGGAGGTAATCTTATTGGAATTTACATGATTATCCACAGGACCAATTGGATAAAGACCTCTGTTATTTCTTTGTTCTGCATTCTGAAAATAAAGAAAATGAGAGGACACAAGCTCAAGATTTGGATAAGGCTGTATAGGCTCTAGTTATTGATTAATGGAAAGAGTTACCATCAGCAGTAGCAGAGGCCAGCACTTGATTTTTTGAAAAATAAAGTCTGGGCTGAACTTAGTACTTTTCTCAAGGGTGGATGTGCAAGGCCAGTCATGAAGGAACAAATGTTCCTTTGTTAGTCATATGTTAAAAAGCTAAGATGAGAAGGCTCAGGTTATAGAGTAAAACTGTAAAGCTCTTGAAATATTGGTGTATATTTTCCTGTAATTTTATTATTTTTAATTCTTTTCATTTATATAAAGAGTAATTGAGGTTACACAGAGAATCCTGGAAGAGTAATATGACATTACATTCATAATTTTTGGTTTAGTTACGATGCAGAATTAAACATTACAGAAAATATTTTAATTTTTAATTAAGTAGTCTCCTGCATACAAACTAGTTACTATGTTATATTTTAACTAATAACTTAGTTCATGAAAAGAACATTATTATTTCAGGTTTATTTTTTGCTCATTAACTTTTGTTATTTTCTCATAAGTTAAAAACAAAATAATTCAGTAGTTTGTTTTGATAGTTTCTTTTTTTTTTGTAGTCTGTTTTGCCAGGTTTTGTTTCAACAAAAATGTCAAAGATTCGTCATACATCTTTTGAAGTTCCCTCTGCAAAGAACTTTGTTCGATGGGCTTTGAAAACTGTTGGTGTTGAAGATAAAACCTATGGATATCCGGCTCATAAACTGAGGGTTAGTCTTATCCTGAAATTGTCAAAATAAAGTTGTTTTTGCAAACTAGACTATACCAAAGCATTTACATGTAATGTATAAGTTAGGAAAATATAACTGAATAATCAAACAGACAGAAATTTTCTTCTTATACTGTTTCAGTATTTGACATTCAAAATACCGAGGATTTCAATTTGTATCTGCTTGACCACACCATGTTATTAAATTATTATCATGCTTTATATTCATTACATGTGTATTCCATTTTCATTCTCACTAAATGATATTACACACATAAATCATATTGATATCTCTTACTTTTTATGATGAAGTTATCAGAAATACAATGATTTACTAAGTATTTACCTGATCACTATGTCATAGCAAAAGGCAACTATTTCTTATGCTATAACAATAATAAATTGATGTAACTTTGTTATCCAGGCATGCAACAACTTTTTCTTCTGACACACACATATATACATACATTTGAACTTTAATTTAAAGATTAATAATGGTTGGGTCACTATCACTGTTTTATTACAACAGTGATTGGATCAATAAAACTGTAGTAATCTAACAATAGTTAAATCAGTACTACTGTTGTAGTTTAAAAATGATTAGATCAAGAATACTGTTATAGTGTAACAATGATTAGATCAATAATATTGTTATAGTCTAACAAGAGTTGGCTCAATAATATTGTTTTAGTCTAACAACAGTTAGATCACATAATACTGTTGTAGTCTAACAATGATTAGGTCAATAATATTGTTGTAGTCTATGATTGTTGAATGATATGATTGCCATTGTTCCAGTTTCTTTGACCATTTCCCTCATGAAAATAATCATTGATCTTGAGAAGTGTCTTGAAACTTGGGAACTTTGGCTTATAATGTTTTGTAAATTTCCCATTTTTGTATATTATTTTATTAACTATACCAGGAGTTGTTATTTCAATAGCTATTTTACATCAGAAGGCTCTCTTTTGTAGTCATAGCTTTGATTTTGCAGATGAGAGAATTGCTCCAGATTGGCTTGGGGTATAGTTTTTGAGCTAGTTACTGCCATAGTCTCTGTTTTGCAAGTTTTTACTATAATTTTTACTGTACTTTGCTTGTTACTGTGGGCACCCAACTTTGTTTAAAAGTGAGGGCAAGGATAAGAGAGAACTTTTGAGTGAAGCAAGAAAATATATTTCTAAAAAATGTTCTATATCTGAGCCTGTCATGTGTTACTTACATTCTTATAGATTCTCTTTCCAGATATTGCTAAGTGGACCCTTCCCACTCTCAATTTTACAGTGGTTGTGCCAACAACTTGGTTATTCTCTGTAACAGTGTATATCTGTTTTCTGCTTTACTGGTCTCTATTTCCAGACTGCACTATTTTAGCAGTGGATGCTTAGAGCCTGTCTTAAGAGAATTATTTTATGTATGTCTGTTGTCTTTTTTGTCTTCTTCCTTGAGTATTGGCCAAGATAAGCTCTTTGAAATAATGAATTCCCTTTATTGCTCCACTTTGGCTGGCTCATTTATGGTATCCTTTGCTGTGTCATCTGTCACAAGGGGTTCTTCTTCCATTATTTTTTTGGAGTCTTCTTCTACTCGAACCTTGAACATCTATTTTCTTCAACAACTTTTATTGCTTACAGTTTCTCAGATGGTTGTTGTATGGTCATTTATTAGAGAAGTCAGATTCTCTTTTTTTGAGTAGCTTCAGTGTTGTTACTTTCTTACCAACGTGCATCTCTGGCCAGCTACCAATCTTGCTGGGCTGTATACAGGAGTTGGTGCCTTAGAAATTCTGTTTCCTGTCTTTCATTAACTCCAAGATCGTAACCTCACTCTTTGTGTTCTTATTTCATGATTGTAGCCTACCTGCTTTTATTGGAGGCTATACAGCTGTCCTCTCTGCTACTTTTAGATATCACAGAAGCCATCTTTTTCTCTGTCTCTTATCCCCATTTTTAATGATCTTTTTCAAGCCTTTTTGTTTACTTCACCCATAAATCCCTAGATACTGTCCTAATTAGGTGCTGTATTTTATTGTAGGATGTCTTGCTTCTACTGATTTTGAACCTGAAGTGATTTGTTAGCTGTATAATTTTTCACTGAAGACATATCTTCTTCTGTTGCTAGTTCAGGAAGGAAGATCTGACATTTATGGCCTCAATGCTTCTCATACTCTTTCTTTCATATATATACAAGCTTTTGCCCGACACATCAAAAAGTGATGTGTTGGAGTTTTGTAAAAAAAATCAGAGCCACAACTCTTTCTTCAGCAAGCTTTGTTCACCAAACAAGTACACTCTCAAAAAATCAGTAATAATGGTGCAACCTAAATAAAAATTACTCATAATATGAGCATTACAGCACAAGTTGACAACTGGCTTTTATATATGTGTTAGACCAATTATCTGGGGTAGTAATAAACTACTCTAGGCAGTGGGAGTCCAAGGCTACACTAACAAAAACTTTGTCACAGCAAACATTGTTGAAGTATACCCAATTTATCTATTCCATGAAGTTGTCTCATTCAAGTGCCTCTGTAGTTAGTGGAAGATTTCAAAAATCTACAAAGCTGATGTGGCCTTTGTAGATAAGATCATATTTGCTCATGTAAGCTGATATTACTTATACAGTTAAGGTAGTTTTTGACCCCGTAAAGTGAGATGACCTGTACAGTTATGGTCAGGGTAGTTTATGACCATAACTTGTAGCTGAAGTGATCTATGCAGTCAAAGTATGTTCTGCCCCTATAAGCTAAAGTGACCTATAGAGTTAAGATAGTTTTTGCTCCTGTAAGCTGATGTGTCCTATACAGTTAAGATAGTTGTTGCTCCTGTAAGCTGATGTGCCCTATACAGTTAAGATAGTTGTTGCTCCTGTAAACTGATGTGACCTATACAGTTAAGATAGTTGTTGCTCCTGTAAGCTGATGTGTCCTATACAGTTAAGATAGTTGTTGCTCCTGTAAGCTGATGTGACCTATACAGTTAAGATAGATTTTCTGAATTTTAAATTTAAATGTAATATATATTTACTTTTCTTGCTAAGCGACACAGATGAATGAAGCGTTACCAGAAGACAACTGTCTTATATATATATTTAATAGGAAGTCTCTATAATTGTATATTGATAGATCCTTCATACCAAAAACAAATTGGGCTGTGAGAGAAGGTAACCACTGTTTCACTAGTTGTGTTGTCTTCCCTGACTGACCCAGATTGTCATTCTGAAGAATACTTCCTGTGCTCTGTCACAAGTGTTCATTGCTATACTGTATAAAAAGAATCTTTCTGAGGGGCCCAAAAATTGTTAATCACTCCGCACATCTTGTTCTATTCACACAACTGAATTGGCTGGTACAGCTGATTCTTCTTGTCTATTATGATGAATCCAAACACCTAAAAAAGTGAACTTTGGGTTATTTTTCATCAAGTTCAACATTTGCCAAGGTCTTTGGTTTCATGTTCTCAGTACTCATTAGAAGACATTTTACAAGTTGGACAAATTCAAATAATTCTGAAATTTTATTTATGTCCAATTATGTTTCTTCAGCTTCAGCATTCTGTTTACCACCTGTGGTTATTCTCCAAGCCAGATGATACCTATAGCAGGTGAGTTATTATCTATTACCTGAATAATTTACTATTTGGGCTTCATACCTATTATGTTTAGGGCAACCTAGGTATTTCTGTGCCACCCAACACACCTGTTAACAATAATTTCATGGACCTGTGGAATTGAGAAGTGATTCAGTTGAACAATACAAAAAACAGGACCCTCCTATTTTAGTAAATTCTATATTTTCTACAGCCAGGACTTTCACAGATTATTTTTACCCATGTATATGTTCTTGTCTCGTATGAATATTTCACAGTTATTCAATTTCTCTCAGGAGATTCTGCATTTATCTGAATTCATCTAGCTGAGACTTCTGCATGCTATTTAAACACCTCTTTTTGTCCTCAAAAAATTCCACCATCTGTGATGGTGCTTCATGATGCCCTCTGGAAGTGGAGTGAGGGTTAGAGTATACTAGTTAGAGTATGCCTACTTTAAAATTTTGGCTGATATTCCCTAGAACCTTCCACTACAGGTACAAGACAGTGTATTCCTTACCTATTTATGCCATGACCTGGACTCCTATCATTGGCTCCACAGATAAACACATTTCCCTAACCACTCCCTTTTTGATGTGAACTAAAGAGCATTGACACCAAAGATGTATCCTGCTATGAAGAATTACTTCTTTCTGAATGTCTTTAGGTCCAGTCTAAAGTTTAGATAAGGCTAGTCTACTCCACTCTTTCTTCTTCAAGTCCAGTTTTTTGAACATTTGGATCCTGCTTTTCTACATCTTCAGTGTGGTCTAGCCTGTAATGGGTAAAATACTGAAACTATTTACTTGAGTAAAAGTATTTTTACTTTGGAAAATATTCACTCAAGTGAAAAGTACCAAATATATACAGTGCTTAAGTAGCAATAAAGTGAAAAGTATCAACAAAAAATAAGTAATAATAGCATTATTAAAAATAACCTACATTCAACTAAAATTCACATGTAAAAGGCACTACCAAATAAAAACTCAGCAAACTTTATTTTATTTTTATTAAAACAATTTGTATTACTGTCTATGGTACAACTCTTCACACATTCCACTTATTATTTAGCTTCAGCAGCAGCTGATTTCCAAAGTTCCTACTAGACAGATTGGCTCGTTTCTGTGTGAACAAGAGCCCTGCAGAACTAAAGAAATGCTCGCACTGATTTACCACTATTGTTTTCAGTGAAAATAAGTCTTTCAAATAAGGCCATGGATGGTTAATTGTGTCAGACATGATGATCACAGTGGTACAAAGTTATCACAGTCAACACTAGATGTAAAATGGCTGCATTTTGTTTGTGCTCAGCAACACAGGAAATATTACTACTTGTGGTTGTCTTATTTGAAAAGAAGGTGAGCTCTGACTGATGTAAACAAAAACTTTCACCATGACAACTATTGTGATTTTCTCCAATTCTTTCAAATGTACTGGAAGTCTTATAAAAGAAATGTAGTGGAGTAAAAGTAGACAATTTATTCTTGATTTTGACTTAAGTAAAAGTAGATAATTTATTCTTGATTTTTACTTGAGTAAAAGTAGATAATTTCTTCTTGATTTTGACTTAAGTAGAAGTAGATAATTTATTCTTGATTTTTACTTGAGTAAAAGTAGATAATTTATTCTTGATTTTTACTTGAGTAAAAGTAGATAATTTCTTCTTGACTTTTACTTAAGTAAAAGTAGATAATTTATTCTTGATTTTTACTCGAGTAAAAGTAGATAATTTCTTGACTTTTACTTAAGTAAAAGTAGATAATCTTCTTGATTTTTCACTCAAGTAAAAGTAGATAATTTCTTCTTGACTTTTACTTAAGTAAAAGTAGATAATTTATTCTCGATTTTTATTTGAGTAAAAGTAGATAATTTCTTGACTTTTACTTAAGTAAAAGTAGATAATCTTCTTGATTTTTACTTAAGTAAAAGTAGATAGTTTCTTCTGGATTTTTACTTAAGTAAAAGTAAAGCATTTTTTAGAGTACTTAAGTAATGGTAATTCCCAGAAAAGTTACTTAAGTAGTGTAATGAAGTAATGCTACTTTGTTATTCCCACTTCTGAGTCCAGGTTATTATCTTCCAGCATTGTAGCATATATTGTTTTGTATAACCTTAATTTCCCCAATTCCCACCTCATTTTCTATGTGGGTATTCTGGCTTTCAGTATTTCAAAGGCACATGTACCTGATTCGAATTTTACATTTATAGGATTAAATTGAATTTCAAACAGGTACGTATCTTTGAAATACATTCCTTCCCACCTCCCCACAACTAGGATATATGTGGCTTTACATTGTGACTGCAACTAAGAAACCTGAATTATGACAGGAAAGAAAAGCTTGTTTAGTTATCCCCATGCATAGACATTAAGTCATCTGGAAGATGGGAGGGTGGAGGATGATGGGTAAGTTTTTGCATGCTCTGCATCGTATCAAGGGCATTCAGAACTTTTAAGTCAATGATTATTGACAGATTTGAGAGGAATTGAACAAAAGAAGGCTTTCAGTACTTCAGAGGAAGGTATTCATTTTAATCATATAAATATAGATTATTTTTTTGGCATTGTTCAAAAATTATTTTAACATAAACTGTATATACAATGGATACAGATCATAGTTATTTGTCAGACACTAAGGAGATTCAGAGCCATGCTCCTGGAGAATTTCTATAATTAATGATGCCAATTTGAGCTAATTTTACTGCAGTGTGGGCCAAAATATGGTAGGAAAAACACAAGTAAAATTAATGTGAAAATAAGCAGGTTAGTGACCAACTTGCATTACCTTCTATTTTCTCGATTAATTTCTTTAACTTATATTTTTCATTCACTGGTACCAAAGCTATTTAGTGAAAGGAAGAATTCTTTCCATTCTCACCCTGCATAACTTCAGTGGCTTACAGACAAACCTACAGTATCATTTCCAATTTCCTGTGCCATGTGTTAAAACTTGATTACTATAGCCTTATGTCTGTGTGTTTATAAATTTTAGTTTTCTCACTTTTTGAACTATATCTAAGGTATAATAAATCTGACCGATTCGGACTCTTTGCCATCGGCTATTATAGACTTTTTGTGTACTGCTCTCAATGGTGATGTACTGGACTGTCTCCAGCACTTTGGTTCTAGATGCTATGGTATAATAAGTTAGTATTGTCAAAATTTAAACATATTACTACAGACCTTTTTTCATCTTGTAAGTTCTTGTTCATTTAATTATAATCTGAAACAACTAGCTACAGTAACCTCACCAACAATAACGTGATTTCCTGATTTGTAGGCTTACTTCATGGAAACACTAGGAGGTATTTTGCCAGTTCAGTGGCAGCAGAGTCTTTTAATGAATGAGATGATGAAGATCCGGCGTCGCTACTACAAGAAGAAAGAACTGAAGGATCCAATGGCATTATGAAGTTTCCAGTTATTAAGGGAGAGCACACTAACTGGTCTGCTGTATTGATACCTTTTAACTGAAAAGATGTGATGATCCTAGTTTGATGTACAACATGTTTTGATGTACATTGGAATGTAAACTCAATGATACATTTCTAAAAGATTAAAAATGGCTTCTGAATTTTATTCATGATTTTATAGATGCTCTCTGTAGGTAGAGATGTTTTGAAGAATTATTCAATGAAGGTTTTTTATGTTAATGAAAATTAACAATGCATCTATTTCAATTATCTTTAAATGACAATAATTTTTAATAAGCAAAAATACCTGTAATACTGATAATCAGAATACATGGTTGATTTTTTAATATTGCCTTTCATGTGACATTTTCAGATAGTAGTTTCAAAGCATATGGGTATTAACCTTACAATACAATTAAGGTTTCTATAATTTCCATTTGATTTGGTATTATTTTGTAATCTTTCATCCTAGAAGATGGGGTTACCTAATGTGATCGAGAATGTTGTAAGTTTCTACAAGAGAAATACATTTTTTTATGTGGATGTATATTCGTTTTTATTTTTGTTGTTTGGAGATGCAGGTTCCCCATTTAGCATGGATTTTGCCACATTTTTTTTTTCCTTTATTCTATTGAAGGAAGTTATTGTGATCAAAAGTGTTGAATTTTAGTACAGTATACTTATGTTTGCTTCATACTTTTTAGACTTGTGAAATAGGATTCTGTTATTGAAGAAAATGTGTTAAGATAAATAAATAATATTAAATAATATGGTGTTAAAATAAGTGAATAATATAGTGTTAAAAGATCCATACCCTAATTCTGATGTGTAGTGACATAAACAACATTTATAAAGATTTCACTACACCAATTTAATCCAGTTCACACCATAAAATTTCTTGTTTAAGCAGTTTGCTAACATAAATGGCATTTCAATTAATGTGTGTATGTTGTATTTCAGCCAGTCTCAAGAATCCTGATATATCGGGCACTAGCTAGTTAAAGCAGGTGTAGTGTAGTTGACATATCAATACATACTTCTTTACTTTAACTCAGAAGTTCTTATTAATAAACACTGTGATAATCTACAAGTAGTTTATAGCATGGGCTATTATTGATAGTACTGGTGTCATTTATGTGGCTAGTGTAACAATATTTACGTCATTTGAAATAGTTAAAAAGCAAAACAAAACAGAGCGATACTTAATTTCTAGCATTTGTATGTTGAAATGTAAAAACAGAGTTCTAAACTAGAATTTCTTAACACTTATATCATTTTTCAACCTAACCTAGTAATGATGTTTAGCAATTCCCCTTAACACATACATGTATATATGTTACTGAGTAGTTTGGGTATCAAAAATTATTGTTAACATGTTTTTTTTTATTTATTTATGACATGCAAATTCAATGTTAAAATATTTTTATGCGATCAGAGCATTCATTTTTCATTGAATTACATAAGACTTAGCTTGTTAAATGATTTGCTGATTCAGTTAAAGGAAAACAAAACATAATAATTAATTGATTGACTCATATCTTTATATTGTGGCTTTAGAGTTGTTCCAGAGATGTTTGATTTATTTTATTGATGTTTGAAACACCCTGAATTTATCAAAACAGTTATGGTGTGCATATTTTAAACTACTGAGGAATGAAAGACATTTTTATAACTTTTCTGTTAGAGTTGATACTTAAAGGTGTACAAAATATTGAAAAACCTTTAAGTAAAGAAGAGTGGCGTGAATATGTAAAGTTTTTAACCTTCTAACAACAAGGTTTCGTCGGTATACCCATATCTCTCTTAAGCAGAAAAAAAAAAAAGACTAGCCAATATGTATGTTGAATTTAACTAGAACTACTAGTTGCTTCAAAAAAATTTATCAATTGCAATTTAAATTGTTTTGGTGATTGAGTAGTCACATTTTTAACAAGTGAAACATTCCAATCATTTAAAACTCAAATAAGAAAAAATAACCTGCTTCTTTCAGTTCTGTCTAAGCCCTGTTAATTTAGAAACTTGGGTAAAATCACCTCAGTATTTTACATGTGATATCAAAGATAAGTTTAATATATTTAAGCATTGGTCATAGCATAATTGACAAAGATCAGGTAATAGTCCAGTCATCCTGCACCACATGCTTTCAAGAGAATCATTTTCTGTCTTCAAGAATGAAGAATCTAAAATGCTTGTATACTGAGAGAAATATTTTATACCTGCTCTAACCTTATTTTCTTTCATAAAATACCTTCATATTCTACAGGGTTTGTAAGGTCAAAGTAATGGAATTTTAAAATAATTTTTACAGACCTGTGGAAATCCTTGAAAGAATGGGTTTTTAGCATAAAAGTCATGGAATTTTTGAGTAGCCAAGAAAAGGCATACTACAATGCTAAATATCACTAAAAACAAAATTATTCCTTTATAAAATATTGGTTGTGATGTCAGCCTTGCACCTTGTGATCTGACTATGCCATGAATATGCTTAAACTTGATTGGCTGTCTCTGATGACCTGACCTACTTGTTATGTATATGTTCAATTCAGGTAGCCATATGGTTTGTGGATCTCACACTTGCATCGTTGACACTGAATCGACTCACATTTCAGCATGTAAAGTGTGACGTTATAGCTGAAGTGTTACAAAGAAAAGATGCCAGCAATCATTTGACATCTCTAACACAGGAGAAGCAGCTGTTAAAAGTCATATGAAAGGCACATCAACCAGGCAAAGGAAAAAGAAGCAATGTTGAAATTAATCGTAAATGTTTTAAAGATGTATTGTCTTTTTTTATTTATTTCAAGTTGTTATAGGGCTTTTCAAAACATTTGTTAACAAAATGTTTCAGTTAATAACATATATTTGCTTAAATCACATTTAATTCTGAAATACAAAAAAGTTGACATTATTCAAGTGTCACCAATTAAAATGATGCTTTTCTAATTTTTCCTGAAGGGCAGTGTATCCAAGAACAATTTTAAAACAAGATGCTGTTGATAAATTTTATCTTTTAAAGAAACAGTAATGCCCGAGATAACTAAATGCAACATTGAGTATTGTTTTTAGAAAGACTTATTATTACTGACTAAATTAATGGTGTAGATGTACATTTACTTCCATATATACACTAATTGTTATTACTTTCTTTGCTTGTGACTATTTGTTTGGTAATTTTAAGTTTTTTAATGGGTTAAAGCATAAAAAAATTGCACTGTTTTGTGTGTCCATTTGTGGACTAATATTGGCTATTCATTATAGTGAGTAGGAAATGTATTAATATATTTTATTTTTATTTTATGAGTAATCAACAGTAAAACTGAAAATCACAAGCAATAGATGATGGTAAATGAATAGAAATGTTTTTGTGATTTGCTTCTGTAACTTCACATTGCTAATTTAACATGGTTTTTCCAAGCCTGTAACTATTACTTCTCAATGTTACAGGTAATTTAAGATTAAGATTGTAAGATGGCTGTTTTCAAGCAGTTTTGTTACTTTTACAAAAATTAACTTGTATACTGAAGAATAAAATTAGGTTGCATAAACATTGTTAATTTGGTTGATTATTGGTTATATTGATTAATTATGAGAGATGGGACTTACTTTAAATGTTTAACAACTTATATTCTATATGAATCTGTATGTTTTCCATAAATTAGGTTTTGCTTGAATAGTTGGTGAATATTTCCAAGTTTCTCAGAATACACAAAGCAACTTTTATGCTCAGTTTATTAAGGTGTGGACCAAGGAAATGGTAATAAAATTAGATCTTGTACGTTTTTTTTTTTCTGTTCATTTCTTCATTTGCAAATAAAACCTAGTTTTATTTAATTCATTTTACTTGAGATGTTATTGAGACTTAATAGTTCGAAATGGAATAAAATCTACTTGTACATCACACATATACCTACAATCAGACAAGTTATTAATAATTGTTTTACTGCTAATCTTTATATAAGTTTACATTTATCTATCAACAAATATTTAAGTATTTTTTATAACATCCGTCAATGGTAATTTCTACTGGATCCGAGATCTAGAACCTGTTTAAGAATGCATTGCGAATTGGTATTTGAATGACGTTGTAAACTAAATCAATTCATAAACAAAAAGAAACGTCAATAATGTTTAAATTATTTTCTTCCAAAACAATCACCCCTTTACTCAAGAATGGTCTGGTACTTTTCCTAGAAAGCAATCAGTGAAACCGATATAAAATCAGTTTTATCTGCGGGTTTAAGGAATAGGGTTTTTACTCACCCCTTAATATCCCGAGATTAGTAAAGCCTAGGCTAGAAACATATTTTATTGTTCATAGTGATTTGGGTGTGAGAGGGAGAATTCCAGAGTCTAACTATCAAAAAGGTTGGTGTACTTTTATTTTACCATTACAGTATTGCGCAAAACATTTAAATTTATCCAAATTTTCAAAGAAGGCTGCTGTGACCCTTTTAAAACAAGGCTTTAATTTGGTTACCAGTTTCCGATTCCATAATCAAAAAACATTATGGGTATGAAATAGACATTGTTTGTTGTTAAGAACGAAGCTACACAATAGGCTATCTGTGCTATGCCCATCATGCCCAGTTTTTAACATTCTAAGCCTTTAGACTCACCATTTGGAGCGAAATAGACATGGAACAAAATCAAATATTCGGTAGAAAATGCACTAATAAATCAACCAGATATAGTTATGATTGACTTGAGAATGGAATTGATATTAATAAATGGAGTTTATAAAAAAATATTTTTTTTTTTAGAAAAGCAAAAACTGGCATAATTTATAAAACTAAAATTTGGATTATTCGCTCCAAAAAATATTTTTATAAATTGGTTTTTGAAAATGCTATTTGTATATTTTGTTTGGGTTGCTATTGGAAAAAGACAATTCAGAAGTTTTGTTAAAGAACGATTTGTAAATTTTTTGAATCCGTAACGTAAGATAGAATTAAAGGAATCTAACAAAGTTAAGCAAAATAGACGTATCATGAGTTAAAACATTAGTGTGTTAACAATTGATTAAAGGAACTAAAATGTTAACGTCTGTTTAACAAACCTTTGTAATTTACAAAACGATATGCCACAGGAGTTGTATTGATCGCGTATTTCGAACACAATATACAAATTAATCAAAGAAGTTTACACGAACCATTTATTTTTGAATGTATATCGGTTTGTGATGATAACACGACTGGTTTTGCATGTTTTGAATAATACTTTAAATTCTTTTCTAGTGAAGACTAGTTTTTATTTTTGTTGTTATATCAAAGTCGACTCGTATATGAAATTTCCAATAGCCGAATATGAACAGAAAGAATCATTATATTTTGATCCTTTGCACCATTGCTTTAAACAGTTAATTACTACTCGCATTTTATCTAATACAAAAAGATCTGGTTGCATATGTCGTATACTTTTAATTCAACATACTTAAAATATCACTTGACTAAGGTATCAGGAAACACAAAATCACTAGCAAGTATCTATAAAAGTACAATGAATATAAAGAAAAACAGTGGACTAATAATAAAGAAATGGTTTAAATTCAGAAGTAATAAATACTCTTTTCTTTCTTTTTTTCTTTGAGAGCCAAAAAACACTGCAACAGAGCAGACGTCAAAGTAAGGCAGCTATTTGCACTCCTTGCTATGGGAGACCTGTATAGATTATTTTATAAGTAATTCTCAAAGATGAAGCTGAAATAATAAAAAACACACGTTTGATCCACTAACGAACATGCCACACCTTCTGTTGTACAATTTCTATTACTTTTATTTTTTTAAGGGCGAGTAGGATAATACTGGAGTAGTGATTCCTTGTGGATATTATATTTCATGGATTATGTCCCATTTAACGTGTAACAAAACGCCACTACAACCAGGGTCCAACAAAAAGAATTTATTACATTTCAACAAACAGAAATTCAAAATATAACTTCCAAACGATTTTATTACAAAGTGCATAACTTACCAGAACACAGTCAACAAATACCTGCCTAACCAGAACTTGATACTAACGTTAATGAACAATATAACATAAATATCAATGTAATTATTTATTTCAATAAATAAATAAATTAGGAAGAAGAACCAAAAGAAGAAGAAAAACTAATTCCGAAAACACACAATATTCCAAATTAAAACCCCTTTAGGGTCAATAACAATATTGAGTAACGATCAGCAATAATTCGTTTTAACTATATATCGTGAATTAAACAGCTCTCTAGTCTATAACTTCAAAATTAGAAAGGCTAGCACAAACAGCTTTTGTGTAGCTTTGCGTTAAATTAAACAACAACAGCAAATTATTCATTACCGAATACTACCAAAGACGCGCACTTTGTATCTCGCCTAGGGCCCTGGAGTGGCTAAAACCAGCTCTACATTGTTAAATATCGTATATAATGAAAAAATGAGGGTGAACCATATTTCAAGGTGTGAAAATGTTTTATGAAATCCAATTAAAATTATTGTCTAAATTTATATTTCTCAATATGTTTCTTCTCTAGAAATTAAATTCCCAGAGAAATTAATA